CCCCCCCCCCCCCGTGTTTAAAAATTAGTGAGAAGTAGTTTAACCACTTCTAGTGTGTTCTGGTTTAAGTAGAATAGAAGTGGTTCAAATTTGTCTGCACAGCTCAGCTACTTCTTGATATTTGTTCCAAGAATTTCAAAATTAGAAAACCAAAAAGAAAGCCATCAATAAGAGACCTTAAAAATTAATACTCGTAAAACCGGGGTTTCTTCTTACCTAACATGCTGCCTGAGACTTGATGTTGTTGTTGAAGCAAAGTCACAATGATCACAAGGATATTTAATCCCGTCATGCTTGTTCCTCACGTGCTTTGTTAGATCTGAGGGAAGTGTTGCTGCGTACTCACATTGCTCACATGAATAACGGATACCGTCGTGTTTGCTCATCTTATGCTTTGTCAAATTGGATGAGGTGGTAGCAGCGTAATCACATTGATCACATGGGAATATTATTCCTTCATGTTTGCTCCTCCTAAGTAAGTATATTTAGATCAGTTCATCATTTGAGTATAAACATAAGCCCATTTTGGGCGAACATTTTTATATTGACATAAAAAAATATTTTACATTTAATTGTTTCCGAATCCAGCTTTACTTACTGGAGATCATTTTAATTTTCTACTGAAACTGCGTTAACACAAAATAAGCTAAAATATATAAGTAATTTTACGGAAAACGGATATTTTTACTTGTTTACCATTACATTTATAAACGATTGTGCACTTCATCATTCAGACTCAGATCATGATCAATTAAAATATAGCAGTTATCATCGTGCAATAATGCGATATTAGTTTCTAAACTAGCACTAGGCCCATTTATAACACTGAGTGTTAGAAATAGGCCAAATATGCAAAGTTATCTTTTTCAAGAGTATATGTTTTTAAATCCAAGACGAGTAGAACAAAAATACACCATATATTTATAAAAAATGGCTAAAACTATATTTTGAAATAATAAATGTCAATTTTAAACTAATAATAAGGTGTGAGAATTAGATTTTTATGATTCTTGATTTTATTTTCGAACATATCCCTATTTGCAACAATTACCGGATTTCAGCTCATGTCGCGTTTTCGGAACATATCCTGGTTTTGAGACAATTACTCGAAATCATATCAATGTCAATTTTTAAGATTTACGCACTAAAGTAACAAAACAAGATTTTTTGATAAGATAAAATAGAAACAAAATAGAAAATAAAAGCAAACTGTTCTTTTATAAATTAAAAATCATTACAGCATTGAGAAATCAAAATATTGATATCATTTGTTCTTACATTATAGATTTAACTTGAAATACGGGAAACTGTTTTTTTTAAAATGCTTGAAAATAAATCATCGATATTCTCTAATTTAAACAGATAAAATGTTGAAACTTAGATTCTAGAAATAATTCAGAAGTTAATTTAGTCGTCATAAGATAATTTTTGTTTTCTGTGATTTATTTTGTAAGTTATGAAAGTAAGTTTTGTTTTGAGTTGTGGATTGAACTTAAAAACGGGAAAGTGGGTTTTGTCTCGAAAACACGACAATGTTTTAAACTCAGGATATGTTCGAAAATGGAAAACCTGATATTGTCTTGAAAACGGTCTAGAGATTAAATATAAAAGAACTCCTATCATAGTTTTGATTAAAACAAAGTTTAAAATTGGGAATGGTTGTCCTCGTCATATTTAAGAATAAAATGTTGTTTATTTTTTTATTATCGACTTTTACTCTTTAATCTGAATATGGGCCGGGATCCCAAAAACCCAGTCTCTAACACTCAGAGTTAGAAATGGGCCAAGTGTTAGTCTTGTAACTAATGTCCCCTGTAGTGTTAAATACTTTGTAATTGGTTCAATTGGTTCCCGGATGTTCTCTAATAAATTGGAAAATTTATAGAATTTGAATAAAAATAAAATTATTGAAATTATCTTTTCTTTTATTACTGCTTTGTTGGAAGGCTTGTTTTAATACCTACAAATAACCTGCACAATACATCAAAAACAAGAACACAAAAAAAATTACCCAATCGGCTATTATACTTTCATTTTTTCTCGACGTGTTAAAAAGTTTAGAACTTAAATTTGAACCTTGAACTTTTAATTAATTTTTAGGATAAAAAACATTTGCGGGAACTCATTTGTTTGTTTGTACTGACATCACTTCTTCAATTGTGAAGTAAATGTATACCTGTGATGCTTCAAGCTAGATGTTTTTGTCGCCACATAATCACATTGATCACAAGGTTTAACCTGGAAAGTTAATTTTAGAAGACGACTTCAATGCACTAGACAATTCTACATAAAAGGAAAAAAGAAAATTTTATTGAACAAACTAAATTTTTTTATAATTTACTTTGAGGATCGTGGGCCATTCACATTAAACAATTATTAGGACCAAAGAATTAAATATCAATCAAAGAAAAGTTATTTATTAAAGAGTGTGTACTACCTTAGTTCTATGCGACATGTACGTTGTTCCCATGACTGCGTAGTCCGACTGTACATAAGGGAATCTAACACCTTCGTGCTTAACCTTCTTGTGCTTCTGCAGATAGGAGTTTGTCGTGGCTGCGTACTCACATTGATCACAAGGAAACCTTGTCCGTTCTGCTTTTACCTGCAATTATTGGAATAAAATACAAAAAAGTATATTATTAAATGCATTGTTTGCAAATCCAACTAGGCCCTAGAAATATTATTGAACCTGCAGCAGGAATTAAATAGCCGTTCTCGTTTGCGATCACTTAAAGAGACTGTTAAGGAAAAATGAAAGGGGGTATACAGACTTAAATCTAAGCACTTTAGGACTTGATCGCGACCTATAAGAGTTCTACCTGATGTTCCTGTCTCGAGAAATTGATTTAAAACTGTGTCAAAGTTATACCAAAACGTATATATATATATGTATTTAGATTCGGTATAAGAATCTAAGTATTAAACAGATCATATTCAGCAAATACGCAACAATCTGAAAACTAAGATAACCCAGAGGAGCCTGAATAACTTAACTGCTCCAATTATAATTTGAATGTATTACTTATTCATTATAGATATAATTGATAGTATAATTGATACGTCTGGATCATGTGACCAGAATGTCCATCAATGACAGTGGAGTATTATTGTCACGTGATACAGACGGAAACACGGATAAGTTTTTGGTATATCGTTGGCACAGTTTAATATCAATTTCTCGAGACAGGAACATCAGATAGAACTCTTAAAGGCCTCGATCTACTCCTAAAACCCTTATCAGTCCCTTCAAGTGATCAAAAACGAGAACTGCTATTTAATTCCTGCTGCGGGGGTATCTAATTAATGAAAAATCATACCCCCCCCCATCTATTTCAATCTCTTACATAATCCTTCATTTCTAGCAGGGTTTATGATTTTATTCGCTGAATCGGTGTTAAATGATTTTTGGAAAATAATTGATTACTTGGGTAGACTCTTATGGTTCATTTCTACTAAAGATATGAAAAATTGCAAAGCTGTGTAAGATATTTCATTATAAAACATGTATCCTGAAGTGCAGAAAAAAATTATTTCCAATATAAAAGGTCTGTTTTCGCGCAATATTTAAAGCCAACTTTATTTAGTTTGTTCTTCTCGACAATCCAAGAAATTCTTTTTAAAATATTTGAAATACCTTTTTCTGAGACAGGTCAGCTGACGAGGTTTGAATATACTCCGGTTGTACATAAGGTACACGGACAGCTTCATGTTTAACTGCGTGATGCTGGATCTTAATGGGCTGGGAAACCTGCGGACTCACAACCTTTAAAGTAGACCCTTTTTAAAGATGCTGTTCCAGAAAATAAGTTTTAAAAAAATGAGGGTTTTGACAAGGTTTAGGCAGTGTTTGTCATACGGATCTACTCCTAATCCTCAAAAATATAAATATATAAAAAAATTATAAAAGTAACAAGATATACATAAAAATATTCTGCTCTCCCGAAATAGCTCTCGATGGGAAACTGGCAAAACTCTAGGGACTGGTCTCTAAATGGTCAATCACGATTCAGTCAAAAAACTACCGAAAAGGTAAAATAGTAAATTTTTTCTAAAAAATTGAAAAGTAGGTTTAAAAAAAGTTTTGGGTGCCATGTTCACATTGTACAAACACTACTGTAAAAATGTGCTGCCCTTACCTGAACCTGGAATTGGTTTTGAACATAAGGATTCCTAACAGCTTCATATCTAACCGCCTCATGCTTAACAGCGTGATGCTGAATCGGCGGTTTTGGCGGCTCCGTCGATGTTGTGACGTATCCTCGGGGGTCGAACTGATATCGAATAGTGTGGTGTTCACTCATCCTAACATTAAAAATAACAAAATTATTGAAATTGGAAAAATTTAGTTTTATTTTAGTTCTATTGATAACTCATCTTGTATGTTTCGGTCTGAGGGAGCTCTGGAATGACGTGAAATACCGCCCGGTGTTAATATTATAAGTCCAGGCTCTACCGTGTCTTATCTAACACAACAAACTTGGAAATATTTTTTACGCCTCTTCATCAAATGTTCTTGCACGTCAAGAAGTTAAATAATCTAATTTCTCAGTGGAAAGATTTATGATGATCTGGGGAAAAATGAAAAGTTGGATATCAAAGGAATATTTTTTCATCCTTACATGTAAATACAACTTTTGCCCAATTTTCCCACTAAAATTTATCAATTTGTCTTGAAAATATAACTCTACCAATCAAATATCTTATTTTTCTACTAGCCTCTTTCCTAAATACCCAGAGCCCTCCCTTTAAGCCTAAACCCGGATTTTGAAGTAACTGCCTGAATCTTCAGGTATACTGCCTGAATGACTACTTTTTCCTGTAACCAGTGCTTAAGATCCATTTAATTTTGATGCGGATTCGGATCCTGGATCCGCACTGGAAAAAAATGGATCCGGATCCAGATTATTTCTTTAGACAAAGCAGAATTTTCAAATTTTTTGTCTTATTTTTATTTCGCTTATTTTAAAGCTAAAACTTGCAGACGATTCAGAAATCAGGAAATTTTTAAAATCTTATTTTTAATAGTTCAAATTTGGGTTTGGGGAGTAAATTTTTTTTTGCAGTTTTTGGTTGATATTTTGTCCCTTGGATCTTTGCGGATCCGGATCCAGGAAGTCAAAAACTTGCGGATCCAACGGATTCAGATCCTAAGTCTTTGTTTTGACCCATTTTGCAAAGAATATTTTGCAAACAACCCGTCAAAAGAAATTTGCACATTTTGATATTTTCTTTATTACACATCACTTAATTACAAATCAGGTTATTTAAAGTTTTTTTTTTGTATATTTGAGATGACTTTTTTCAAAAATGTATATTTTATCCTTTTTCGGACATTTTTTGCAAACATTTACTCCGAATAACTGGATTTCTCTAAAACAAAATTAATTTGTGCAAATTTGCAATTTTTTGCAGATTCTAAAAGTAGAGCATCATTTGTCATATTTGGACATAACACATGAGATTATTAACACCCCAGCGTATCCTGGTTTACCAAGTACCCCAGCAGGGTTGAGGTTAATAAAACAATATCAATTTTGTAATATTTCAGAGTTAGGCTGAGACAATTTCTGGAGGGAGGGGCATGAAGAAGGATCCAAAAAACTTTCTCAAGGAAATTACCGGGAAAAAAAAAACATAATTAAAAACCTAACTACTAGCAGCAGGCCTTGATCAGTGTTTCCGTATGTTAATATTTTGAGTCATGTATCACAATTATAAAAGAAGTTCCACACTACCGAGCGTAATTTTGCGTCACAGCGGCAAGTAACAAAATACACAACTTACTTGTGCAATGAGTTTTTATACAATAAAATTTCTTTCTTTTATTGTTTTCCTTTAACGTACACTAATGAATATTGAACAAGAGAAATTTAATACTGTGAGGAAAATATTTGGGGTCCGTCCTAGAGACCGATTTTTGGACCTCCCCCCATCAATTTTGTACATGACCACTTATTTATCATTTTTCAGCAAAAATATTACTTTTTTTATTATTTTAGGTTAGGTTAAGACAATTTCTGGGCCTAGTGCTGCGGCTAGAAGAGGCTAGAGGACCGAGCGCCGCGGCTATGATAAGGGGCTGGGCGCTGCGGCTAGAACAGGATAAGAAGCCGATCGACGCGGCTAGGACAGGCTAGTGGGCCGGGCGCTGCGGCCACATGATCAATTATATCCATTTGTTGTTCATGTACAAAATTGATAGGAGGGGGGGAGGGGGTTGTCTAAAAATCGTTCTCTAGGAAATTACCAATATTTGTAAAAAACATGTACAGGACATTTAAATAAAAGACTGTAATAGCATCACCTGAGGTGTTAAATATCTACTGTTTACTTTTTAAGCTTTTTCAAACCCCACTCAATTATAACATCTGAAATTAAATTGAAGTTAATTAAAATAAAATTACAAAACTCTTGAATTTTTAAAACTATTTGTGAATTCAATAACTCCAACCGTTTTAAAATATTTTTAAGTAAATCGTTGAGATGCGTTTAATTCTCAAAAAAAGCATCGAAAGTGCACAAATGTTATCAAACACATAGAAAAGAAAATTAAAAAAACGTAAAATAAAACCTGTAACGTCAATATCTCATCTAATTTATCTCGTTTAAGATTAAAGGACGATAAAGTTCGAAGGGCCGTTACGTTGAACTGTTTACAAGCGCAGATTAAACAGATTGCCGCAAATAATTCCGTACTCTTCTACCTGACTCCAAATATTTAAATCGACTATAAAAACGACGACATTCAAACTTAACGTTTAAAAAATTGAAATAGGAAAGGTTTAGAGGAAAAGAAGAATATATAGGGTGTCCCACGAAACATGACAGTTCGGGAATAGTTTTGAATGTCTTCTTCCATAAACTGTATTAGATATTATAGACTTTTTGAAGTTTATTATATTCATACTTTGAAATCAATTTTACATTATTGGCTGGCATGGAAATTTTTACATTATTCTCTTAGGGTTCAACCAACTTAAAGGGAGTGTTCGCGAAAAATGAAAGGGGGTATAAGCTTAGTGCGATAAAAAAGCGCTTTTGATCGCTATTAATCTTACTTCTATCTGTTGCGTCTATAAGGAGAAAATTGTTAAAGACGTCTCATACATAATAACTTAGCGCCCATACAAATTCAGAAAATTGCAACATACAACTTAGACCGTAAAAAAATTAATTTAATTTTAAACAAATCATTTAGATATTACAACCTATAGTCATCGATTATCTTTCGCCACATTTGTATATAGTTTATATTTAATAATATTTTTTAAGTAATTTGTTTTGAATTTGATTATTTCTCTTGTCGCTTGCGCAACTGTCTAAGAATGCCTCGCACGACTCACATTTTTCGAAATCCGTTAAAACGTTTTCTAAAAAAATAAAATTAATTAAAAAGTATTCTAAAATATAAACTATACACAAATGTGGCGAAAGATAATCGATGACTATAGGTTGTAATATCTAAATGATTTGTTTAAAATTAAATTGATTTTTTTACGGTCTAAGTTGTATGTTACAATTTTCTGAATTTGTATGGCCGAAGTTATTCGGTATGAGATGCCTTTAACAATTTTCTCCTTATAGACGCAACAGATAGAAGTAAAATTAGTAGCGATCAAAAGTGCTTTTTTATCGCATTAAGCCTATATCCCCTTTCATTTATCGCGAACACTCCCTTTAACAAACTATGAAAGAAGACATTTTAAGCTCTTTACCAACAAACATGTTTCGTGGGATACCCTGTATAATTTAGGGCGGCCCTGTAAAAATTGTTCAGAGGTGCACTTTTTCTTTTGAATATGCTATAAAAAAAATAAAACAACTGTCAGTGAAAAAGTATCTTTTGAAAATGAAGCTTTCTGGAGAGAACATACAGAAACACTCATAAAACAAGGACATTCTCTCTGCCTGGCAATGCTTGAAAAATCTGACATGATCTGGAAATCTTACATGTTCAATCTGAAGAAAGGTACACTGAAATTCCTACTCAACTCCTGTTTGGACACCCTGCCAACACAAACTAACCTTCTACATTGGGGAAAATCTTCATCAGATCTCTGTAAACTATGTCTACAGGCAGGCGCTGAATTGCAAGGTAGAAGACAAGAAACTACAAACCATATTTTGAATGGCTGCAAGGTTACACTACACCAAAAAAGATATACTTAGAGGCACAACAATCTTATTGAATATATAACTGGATTAATTGATATTGACCGATTTTTAATGCATGCCGACATCCCGTCCCATACCCTTCCAGGGGGAGGTACGTACTGTTCCCCCCAACCTCCATGTGACTGCAGAGAAACCAGATCTAGTAATTTTCGATAGAATGGAGGAAAAGATGGATATTTTTGAGCTTACTGTCCCGTTGGAAACAAATATCAAAAATGCCAATGCTCAAAAGATGAACAAGTATGAACATTTTATCACAGATATAACAACTGGGATGTGTCTGTTCATCCTTTTGAAATCGGCTCAAGAGGATATATCTCACCATCAAATAAAGCAAATCTAAAGAAACTGCATAAGTTCTGCAAACCCAGTGTTACTTTCAAAGCAAATCTATCAAGCCTTGCAGTACTGTCATTATACTACATTTTTAGAAAACGAAAAACACTAGACTGGGACCAAGAAACTCCATTTCTTGAAAACCACATCTGAATAACTAAACTATACTAATGTAAAAGTCTTGTATTGAACCTGTTTTTTGGCAAACCCTGTCAGTTATAAAATGCGATATCCAGAGAAAAGAGTATTAGTTTGTAAACTTTTATATTGTTTAATGTAATTTTGCTTTAGACAAATATAAATGATGAATATAATATGAAACTAAGAAAAATCCAAAATATTTTTTATTTTGAACCATTTTTTCCGGTGCCACCGTAAAAAACGTGATTTTTTGGCCATTTTTGAATTTTATTGATTTTATTTCTTAAAACTTTTAACATTTTGGAAATCCCAGATAATGGTCTAAAAGATAAAATCAAATGATACTGAATATTTTGAAAATTCATAGTTTTATAAGCAGTTTTAGCCCCAAAATCATCGATTTTATTGATGCGTACTTGCACCTCACTAACCCTGAGAACTGAACAAAATTTTTTTTTCACTATCTATATTTTATACTTAATCTAAAATGTCATTACTTTTTGAAATAACTTTAAAAATGGTCGATTTCTGAACTGTTCAAAAACTCCTTTTTTTTTGAGTTTTTTGAAAATTGTAAATCTCTTATAATTTAATTACGTGTTTGAATATTTTGAATTTGTTCTTTTAAAATGTTCATAAATTACATAGTTTTTGACTTGGAATGTTGTTTAATATATATCATTTTGGGAACCCCAGATACTATCTTTATAAGACAATATTAATTTTTTTTTAAATGGTTGAAAACTATTTTATTTTCATGTAAGTTAGTAGAAAAATAATCTGGTTGCTATGCACTAACCTTGTCAAAACACTCGCTGACAAATATTAAAACATTTTGTTTTAGTTTTTCACTTTCTGTTTGATATATTCTATGCTAAATAATTCATATATATCTAATCAAAAGAAAAAGTGCAACTCTGAACAATTTTTACAGGGCCGGAAGTAAGATTAGTAGCAATCAAAAGCGATTATTTTTCGCCGTAATCATATATCCCCTTTCATTTTTCGCGAACGCTCCCTTTAAGGTCAACCATTTAACTATCGTTGGTCAAAAAACAAATTTGTTATATAGATAGATATATTAAAAACATTTTGATTTGATTTGTGTTTAAGTTATCACCTTTAAAACAAAAACAAAAACTTAAAAGTGTAAAAACGGACCTTAATAATATCCATCCTTTTATATATATAAATATATACTTATAATATCCATCCTTTTAGATATATAAATATATACTTAATAATATCCATCCTTTTATATATATATAAATATATACTTAAAAATATCCATCTTTTTACATACATACAGTGAAACCCTTCATAACGAATACATCGAAAGAATTCATCAAATGTCGTATTCTTCACTTTCTGATAATGGAATGTTGCAGATATTTACTTTTTTAATTAAATGATTATATGGAACTCTTTAAAACTGTTCCTGCATATTCATGGCTATTTATTTATTTTTGCAAATACTGAAATTTACGTAATAAATAGTATAAAACTCATTGAAAAATTGTCAAGACGACATTTGATAAATTCTTCCGATGTATTCGTTATTAAGGGTTTCACTGTATGTACTTATAAATATCCATCCTTTATATATATATATATATATACTTATAAATATCCATCCTTTTATATATATATATGTCTGTCTGCTAATTTGTTTGTTTGTGTCTAAAGACACGTTTAAACCGCTTTTTTGTGGAACCTGCGATGACTCAAAGGAAGGTTGTTGGGCCATACAAGTTGAAAAAATACTGTTCTTTTTTATTAAAAGTGCGCCAATTCAAATAGAAAAATTTGACAAAATTTATTAATGAAATGGCCGACTTTCAGAGCAAAAAGTTAAAATTATTTACAGTAAGCGCCCTATTCACCCTTTAAGCCTAGTACAGTTCGTACAGTAAACGGTAGAATGGTGGTGTATAATTAAATGTAAAAAGGTACGTGATATTGAAGAGGCCGGACTCCCCTCCTGCACGCCTCATGTTGTATCATAAACAATAATATTGACATGTCAACTAAACATAGTACAAAACCGTTATATTTTTCCACCCGTGGTTCATTTGTTGATCGGCAGTAAGTAAAGGAGGTCAGAAATCAGAATCACAGCCCCCCCCCCCCCCCCCCCCCCCTCCATACCTTATTAATGGTTTACCAATTTTTGTCAAACAAATTCATGTTTTGAAGCAAAAATAGTATTTGTGACCTTTCGCCGATTGTCTTTGCGTGTAAACCGGTGCACCGTAAAGGGAGTGTTCGCTAAAAAAAGCACTTTTGAACGCTACTAATCTTACTTTTATCTGTTGCGTCTACAAGGAGAAAATTTTTTAAAACAACTTATACTGAAGAACGTAGCGTCCATACAAATTCATAAAGGTGCAACATTCGACTCGGATCGTAAAAAGATCAATTTAATTCCAAACAAATCATTCAGATATTACAACCAATAGTCATCGATAATTTTTCGACGCATTGGTATGTAGATGAGTAGATGATATTTCATAAAATTTATCTATTTTTTTTGATCTGATAGTTACTTTTGAAAACATTTATTCCTGTTGTGAGGATTTTTGATAATGAAGACGACATTTTCATATTTTCCAGGAATGTTCGAAAATCCAGCACCAGCAAAATATATTATAATATAAAAATATTAAATATGTACGAATGCGTCGAGAAATAATCGAATGTTGCATGCTCTTCAGTCATTTTTAACAATTTTCTCCTAATAGACGCAACAGATAGAAGTAAGATTAGTAGCGATCAAAAGCGTTTATTTTTCGCAGTAAGCCTATACCCTCTTTCATTTTTCGCAAACACTCCCTTTAAAGCAAAATTTTGCATCTTTACTATTAGACGCAATTAATTTTGCACGTTATTGAGTCAATTTTTTTGTGCAATAAAATAAGTTTTAGCGGAAACATAAAATTTTGTTAGTTAAAATTACTTCCTTTTAGTTTGTTAAACAATACAAAAATAATTACCTTTCAAA